GAGATTATGTTGAAAAATAAAATTACTAAAAAAATCTTACGTCTTCAGCTTATCGTTAGATGAATAAAATAAAATGCATTTTGAGTGATCGATGGCGCTGTCTGTATGCGCATATACAAACATACAGATGGCCACAGCGACTGTGGCTGACCGCTTACGCCATTTGGTAGGATATTTCTATGGTGAATCGACGGTTCCCGATGCACTTCAGCATTTTCTAGCAAAAACTTCGTCCTCGAAGTTGGTAGATGACGGTAGGTGCGCTCCACCGCCACCCAAGGTCCTAGCTATACGAGAGCGTTACAGCATGCACCTTTTCAAAAATGTTTCGCACTTTTGAAGAAATAACTAAATATAGGATTACTTGTATTGTGCGGTTTGCTGGAGATGCCACTGTTCCGCAGCACTTTGACTGCGCTAAATGTGCAAGCTCAATGAGGAGAAGGGAAGCGAAGAGAGGGGAGGGTACATCTGATTTCGTTGCAGTATATTTATACTGTTTCAACTCCAGTAATGTTGCCTATCAGTACATATTTCGCATCGAGGTTTTCCCCATACATTTGCCCTTATAACTTATAAATTTTATACACGATACACGCGATCTGCCGGGATGATGCGATGCACCGGCGACTTTCAAACGCCGAACCCTGCCTTGCGTCTAACAACATCGCCGACAAGCATGTTCAAGTATCGTGGCTGGCGCTTATGACGTGTTTAACTACAGTAGTCCAGTAGCATTGCCAGATGGTCGATACTTAGGGCATAGAAGAAACTAGCGTAGCCTTATCAAATGAATGAGGGCTATGAAATATGTACTATTTGTATGTCGGCCTGTTTGATTGCTAGTGAAGTGCAAAGTCAACATACTTGACGCCATTTTTTTTTAATTGCAGCATAAAGGAATAGAAATATGGTCCAGACCCATAACACCGCTTTTCCAGAATTACTTCTCGTATGCCATAGCGTTCGTTAACAGGAGAACGGACGGAACACCTTCAGATGTAGCTGTGACCCTTAAGGAACTTGGACTTACATCTCCTACAGGTTATAGAGTTGAGGTGAGTAGAAATGGCTTTTATTTTTTCTACACAATTTCCGAAGCATGGCCATTGGCTATATCGCTAGTTCTTTCGGACAATGCCTTCTAGCTTCATTCTTCAAATTAAGAAAAACTAAATGTCGTATTCAAATATTTTATTATTATCAGTTACATTCGAACCTAATTAAAATAAGTTAAAATTGAAAAGGCGTATGCTCGTGCTCCAAATAAAACAATATTACCCGTGCAAAATTTGATAAATGAACAATCTAATAATAAATGTTAGTTCTCATCATGTTAGATATTGACATAAGGTAAGCGCTTTGCATAAGGCTCTATCTATAGTAGGAATTTATAATAATGTTCAGAGTCATTGCCGGTTGTAGCTTGAATTGATGAATTTTTAATCACCGCGTGATATCGCTTATTGTTTTTTTATAATTTTTTAATAATTCGATGGCATAGAATACGAGATAGAAATTGTCATAACAAATGGTACGATAATGTAGAGGTGCTAGGCTTACACATATATAAATGAAAGAAGCCAATAATATGCAAAAAGTATGCATACGAACATCATCATTTACTCTTTTCAAATGTTACTATGGAAATAACACGCTATTCTACAAATATATAATGATAATAAAATTCTCTATTTCAAGGACTTGTATGAGGACGTAGACTATGGAGTACTTTCACCGCAAACCAAAATCAAGGTCAAGGTTAATCCATCAGGTAAGATCTCGCCAAGTCATTCCAGCAATTCCAAGTAAAAGCGTAATTTATACCTTACTGCTCTTTTTATAAGGGTTTTGTTGCAAACAGTTTAAGAGGTGCGGCGTTCGGCCAGCTGTGGCTTGCTGCCGTCTTATGTAAATGTCCAACATATGGCCTCCTGGAAAAGCTTTGCAGATAGGTGGCCGACTTCCTCTCCTTAAGATACGTCGTAATTCACGGGTTCTCTTCATCCCACAATGTCAACGCGGGTGTTCCCACGGGTCGCTCTTAACTCCGACATTGTACCTCTTACATATCAAGGATCTCATTTCCCGTACGTCCAACCCGATCCACAGCCTTGCTCTACTTGCAGGAATTCACAGTGACGAGACGGTGAGTTGAAGAAAAGAAGACTAGCAGCGACTTCCCCTTTGTCGAGAGACCTGGAGGTCCTCACTGCTTGGGGACGCAAAAATTGGTTCAGTGTAATGCTTGCAAAACACGATACTATACCTTAACGAACCAGAAGCGTCCTAGTACTCATCGGGTTTTGATGGATAGCCGAGTTCTACCATCGAGCCGTTCATTTCGGATTGTTGGAGTCCATACCACCAGACTAAATCTGCCAGGAGCACATCTCGTCAATAGCGACAGCTGCTGGGAAAAAGCTAGGTTATTTGTTGAAGGCTAAGAAGTACTTTTCTCCACATAACCCATCACTCTGTACAAGACCCAAATAAGACATAGCTTCGACGTTTGGGGTGCTACCGCCACGACTACATTACCCATGTTCGATGCTGTTCAGAGGAGGGCTGTCCGAATGATCGTTGACTCTTCTCTAACAGACAATCTTGATACCCTCTTGCGTCGGCGGGTCGTCGGCAATCAAGCTCTTTTCTACCGCTATGACAACGGGCTTTCCTCGTCAGAGCTCGCAGCACGATGAGCATGCAACAATCTCAACGCCGCCTGACTTCGGCCTCCCTTACTAACCTCGTCGAACTTCGTAAAACCAGAAGTGGCCGATACGACTGATCCTTTGTCCCTATTGTATATTGAGATTGCGGAATAATCTACCTGAAGACGCTTTTCCTAGTTCTAATAACCTTAGGCAGCTCAAAAATCGGATTAACAAAGTTTCATTAAGCTCTGATGCCCTGGAATTTGCGCTTCTGCTTACGCGGCTGGTTGGTTATAAAAAAATTATTGGTCGATAATCAGATAAAGAACCAAATATTATGGAGATATAACTCGTTCCTATGATAAAATATTTTGTATGGAGTATACTCGTATCTTATTTACATAATATTCATCGTTCATGAAAACCAGTAGTTTTTCCGCTAATATTTCTTATTTTGTCGCCAATTTTGCTGCAAATATAGTTGCGTCACTAAAATTGATAAGTTTATTTTGTTTACGACCAATATTTTTGAAACAACCAACTACAATATTAGTAAGCATTTGGTAAGCAACAACTTGAGAGAACTGAAAAAGGTGCGCCGGCGTGATTTAAACTCACATCTTCTCCATTCCGTGGAGCCGACCTAACCAATTAGTGTACAGCATCAGCTTTCAGGATCGACTTAGACGCACATTCAGACCTACCCAAGCCACTGCTGTCTCAAGCTGCCTTGGTGCCCCATCTAGCAGCGTTGGTTTTGGCTGGTGCTGTAGACTCCACTGAATAGAGAAAATGCGGATTCAAATCCCGTCGGCGACTATTTTTCCTATGACTCATGTTGCTGTTTACTAAACAACTCGCTGTTCTGGATGCGCCCATAAATTAAATGTCTAATCATATTAGCAAATTTTGCCGAAATAATTGTAAAGTCTGGTTTTATTGGTGCAAGTTGTTCAAGGCGGTATTTAAAACATGGACGCATAAAATGGGCCCACCAATTTTTATGGGAAACATTTTTATTTGACAACAAAGAATGAGAAAACGTGTTTTTTGGGATTCAATCGAAAGTGTTGACAGGAACGAAAAAACTTTTCATATAAGATGTTTAGGTATTTATGAGACCACACATAAAAAGATCATACTAATAGCATAAATATTATGGCCGAAAAACGAGGCAAAATGCGGGTTTTGGCGCTTGTTGGTAATGCTACTTGAAGGCTACGTTTTTTTTCTTCTAAACAAATTCAAACATTTCGTATTTGTGAGTAATTGAACAAATGCGCTACTATGTTCGAAAAACATACGTTACTATACACATTTTAAAACACCGCTATCATCTTTTGTTGCGCAGTACTCACAAATGCGAAATGTTTGAATTTGTTTAGAAGAAAAAACGTAACCCAGCCCTTTTTGCTATAAAATGTCCTTTGAACTAACCCTGTATGTTGCTCAATAAACTAGAAGTAATGACCGGTAAACAGGTGTTTTGGGATAAACAATTAGAAACTCTTGCTTGCGTCAGTTTTCGGCCATAAGTTTTTTGCTATTAGTCTGATCTTTTTACGTGTGGTCTCATTTTGTAGGTCTCACACATAGCTAACAATCTTATAAGAAGAGTTTTTCGTTCCTGTCAACACTTTCGATTGATTCCTAAAAAACAGGTTTTCTCATTCTTTGTTCTGGATTAAAGTTTTCCCACAAAAATTGGTGTACCCATTTTATGCGTCCATATTTTGAATACTCCGTTGAACAACTTGCAGCAGTAAAACCAGATTTTACATTTATTTCGCAAACCAGGGGTATTTTCGCCTAATATGATCTGTAACGCATTTTATATTGTTGACAGCGAGATGTGTCGTAGATCAAAAAATAATCCGTTGAAGCCTTGTGCCAAATAGAAGCGTTCAATATAATAAATCAATCAAAGCCTACATTATAGTAAATCAACATAAAATAATTATTGCTATTGCAAACTTCTGTAATGAAGCAATTTCGCATAATCTCATAACTTTCTTCGCAGGTGTCGTGATCTTGAGAGCAGATGTACAACCGGATTTTCCAAGGAGGGTACCATACTACACTACCCCGAAAACTGTATTCAATCCACTCCACCAAGTATTCAGGATACGAAACAATAACGGGTTTAGCACTAGATAATGACAAAGTTGTAAAAAGGTACTCGAGTCAATAGATTAAGTACTTCCCCCATCCAGTGGATATACTGCTTTGTATGTTTCAGAAGACACAATATTTTAACACAATTATGCCGTATTTTGTTTCAATATTAAGTGAACAGTGTTACTATGAAACGTTTAGGGATATTGTAAATTGAGTAACATGGTTGTAAAAATTTTTAACAAGATATAAACTGTATATACGTGTGAAAGTGCCAAAATATGTTCTTATATCCACTATACCATATGCATGTCACGATTGTCAAGTATCTGGATCAAAATACAGAATTGTCAAAGCTGAAAGATAGGTCAGATCGGCATACGGCAATCGGAGGAAGTTGCTTTAAGTAAATTATTTTTAGTAATTTAAGTACATTTTTAATGTATAGTTTAATTACGAGAAGACATTACAAAAAATAAAGCTGTTAATCTAAGATGAACTGGTATTTTTTGTCTGCTATTGTGATTGTTACTGATAGTCCTCGAACGTTTTTGGTCAATCTGGTACAAGATATGGTTCCTTCTACGGTGTCCCCTAAAAATATATCAATTATTAATGCTATTATGTGTAGAGACTCAATTCCGATTGTGGCTTGATACTGAAACTTAATAATCAAAGAACACGACCTGGGAATATTGCAGACAACTAAAAAAATCCGTTGTGGTAAGCATCACTAGCATTCTCTAAAGGTAGTGGTAATCAACAAATTCGGGCTAGTTAGAAGAAGCAAGTCTATGATTTGTTTATCTCCAACAACCTGATGGGCTATAGTCTGGATGAAAGTACAAGTCGATTAGGCTTAAGCCGTTAGTTTAACATTTGTTGACATTTCACTCGAAATTTGTCTTTTTCTGCGAACGCATACAAAAATGCGTGGCTTCCATACGGTCCTAGTGTTCCAGACATTTTTCGAAAATGGTGAAAGTTTCTGTAGAATGCAAAAAGCCGTTTAAACTGAATATCGATCAAAGGTGTTAAAATATTATAGTCATCCGGTTGCGAAGGGCGTTTCTCAACGGTGGGGTTTTACCTGCACAGTTGTGAGGTATTTTTAATTCATTTCAGTCCACATCTTGTTTCTTTGAGTGCTCAGTCCGAATTTAAGGTTTGTTAACGGGATCGTATATATCTAACAACATTGAAAAGTGGGGTATTGGAGACAAACCAAAAATTTTAATGTATATTGAAAAGGTCCAAATGAAACTATAAGTATTAGTCACACCTATTTTAATTTTAAATCTGAAAGTTCTCAGGAAAGGTATTTACTTTCACGTTATAATAATAAAATAATATCAAATTGAATTACTTCCAAATTTTTTTCATTGTTTATAGTGACAATGATATAATATCTGTAATTTCCATATTAGTTCAACTAGGTATTTGCTTTTAGCCAAGAATCTCCTCAGATTACAAAAACTATTTTTTGAAAAACAGCGTGGAATTCAAGCAAGGTGTCCCACCCAGGTCAAACGTTCCATATTATAAAACAAAAATGATATAAACTATAATTTTACTATCTGGCCTGCATAATCAAGTCGGCCATTGCTTTGCTTAACCCAGTTGTATTGCAGAAAGTGTGCATAAATCAAAAATATCTTGAGAAGTGTCACTATCAGATGGAATGTGACTCATTGCACTCAAAAATTGAAGAAAGATTAAAGGGCGGAAAAACTAATGTCTCAGCTAATTACGTAAATATACGTGAATCTTGTAAGGCAAAGACCTAAGTCATACTTATTTCAAAAACACATCTGATGGCTCTAAGATATAATGAAGCAGGAACAGAAAAAAGGTACTAGGAAGAATTTCAGCCGCTGCCTGTAAGGTAGGCATAACGTTCAAAGGGCATTCCTATCAATGAGCTACCAATTTTGTGTAATAGCCAGATAATGATTAAAGCAAGTATGATCATTTTATGTTTTTTTAATCTGTTGACATTGATTACCATTACCTTTGTGATAACCTGTAGCAAGAATGAACCATTCAAATAATGTTGTTTATCATTACTTCCAAAGCTTACCTTTTCTAAGCTCTACTGTCTGCCCCAAAAAGAAAACTGTCTGTTGCCAATGAGTCTTCGGCGCATGAGGCCCAGTTGAAAATTCCACCTTCGTTTCCAGATCAAAAAACGTATCGAAGTACCCAGCGATGGCAGTGAGCGTTCCGTCCTTGATCACGTTCAATTTGAACTTAGAACTGAAAATGCAGACGTCGACGTTGCACTTCATCAGATCAATTTCCGTTACTACACTGGCATCCGTCAATAGGTTGTCAACTGGTACCAGCTCAACGAACGCCTCTCGAAGTACTTCGCTCTTCATGCATTTCATCGAGAAGCCGTACACGTCGTCCCAGAAGTTCACTAGTTTGTTGTACCGATCTAGAAGCGATAGAGCGGCATTCAAAATTAAAGTTAAAACTTGAATAAGCATATACAAATAATTGTAGTTCCTACGGCTATACATTCAGAATTCATTAGCTATACTTCTTTCTTGGTAAGAACAATCTTTAGGTGCTGGATAAGCCAGCCATCGTTCCAATCGTTATGTCTCGTCGTTCTGTTGGTTGCCCTGAGTAGCTCCGGTCCAACGTAAAGCTTCCAAAATTACAGAAATTATGAGCAAGAAAAGTGTTTTACAATAAACTTTCACTGATTATATTTCATTCTTAAAATTGTTAAGGCATGTGGGTCTGAGATACATTACAGATAGGTCCAATGTTTTATACTGGTAAATAAAAAAAATGCTTAAGTACATTGACTCTGCACTTCCCATACAAAGCAGCTATCGGATCGTAAAGGATTCTGTTTCGCACAAACCCTCTGAGAAAAAAGTCAGTCAAACAGGTCCATTAATTAGTCCATAGACATTTTTCCCTGCTCTGCCGCTATTCCATCTGTCACAATGTCGTCACTCCCCGATACCTAACCGGATCAGACGTGGCACCGGGGCCACAGCATAGGAAACTCTGTGTTATGGCGCGTCAGTAACACCAGAGCAATACCAGGACCCGTACGCCGCCAGCGGCACATGCGGCTGTTAGGTACGCGATCCATCTGTTGAGAATGTTTTTTACCGATATCCACGGAAATTAAACGAATTAAGTCAGTCAAACAGGCTCATACAATTCGTCCATAGACATTATTTCACTGCCCTGCCGGCAGTTACTGTTCTTCTGGCAACGTTGTCCCGTTCCACATCTGAGCGGCATCGCTGCAGCAAGCTATCTTTCATTTCGTGCATGGTCCGTATGAATGATTTTTAAGTAGCAGGAGTACGTCGATCAAAAACGATTCGCTATGATGCTCACTTCAGGTTTTTCAATCTATAATACGTGAAATATGTCTAATAGGTGCGTAGATTACCAAGATTGGGAGCGTATAAATATACTTACATCAAAAAATGAGATACACCCTCCCCACCCCCAATTTTTTTTTCTAAAAATTGTTTTAAAAATGATCAGGGTCAACTGAAACATCAAAAAACGAAGCATGAGCGATTTTTATAATTTTTTTTTTGTTTCGTTTTTGACCTATTTCTCCGCCGACAGTGGACCGATTTTGAAAAGATTCAAAACGTTGGCATAGTAGTTACATTGTGTAAAAATTCCATCACAATCCGAGAGGCACTTCAAAAGTTATAAGCGGTTATAGGATTAGCGGACAGACAGGCAGACGAAAATGAGTGACATGGCATGGCATGTCATATAACATCAAAAAAATACTTCCCAGAAGGCGTGGGAAGTGAAATACTTTGCCTTTCGCTGCCATATTTCCACGACTATAATAAATCACAAAATTTAACAGAGATTGTCCCATGCATCATTGCTGATATGCCCGATCGATAGAGCAACCGAGACGTCGGACTGGTTTCATAAAATCAATATATTGTTGCTGTCGCTTTTGATGGTCCCTATTTCGAGATTCAAAACCCTGTTTTAGAACTTTAGTTGTAAAGGTTGGACAGAAAATCAATAACATTTCTGTCCAAAACATGATACGAGGGTGCTAGGATTAAATAGAGATTTTGCACTGTCAAAATGCTCCTCGGATCTTGCGTCTGAAATATTCAGACATCACCTCAAAATAATCTTTAAAACATGATAGAAGATAATAAGACGCAACACTGTAATCGAAGCGAGGGTACTGCTAAAATCTGATAATACAAATCAATACGATCAAATTCACCCTGTGTTGAAATACTGTAAACCTAAAGCAAACCTAATCCGCTCTTGTATCTCGATCAGATCAAAAGAGAGAAGGCACGACACGACACATAGTACTCAACTCAGGCGCCGGAAGCGTAGGTAAATGAAACATTTATTTACCAATCCGTTCGAAAAACCCAAAATGGCATACTCGTACATCATTATCAAACTTGTCGACATGACTTTAATTTATGTTGAGCGTCTTCAAAACGATACCGAGGATTTACGAGTGACTATCATTCAGGGATTTGGTTCCCTTGTGCAAAGTGCTAGGGATACAGGTCGTTTTGCAGGAATGTCGAGGTGGGCACAGTGGAAAATCTAGGCACCCCTGAATAGTGCAAACTGAGGAAGGAGTATTGAATCTTGTAGAATGAATCATTCATCAAGCAATAAGGTAGTTGCTATACACGTGCGAGTCTCCAAGACTAAAGTGGTAAACGCTGCATGCTGATGGATTGACCTTTGTGTACGAGCTCTGAGCATTCTTCTGTTAGAGTGCGTTTTTGTGAGTGGTTGTCGCAGTCCGTATTGTTCACGGATGAATCAACCTTCACGCCTAACAGGGTGAATAACTTCCGAAAAACCAGTGTGTGATCATCGGAAAATCCTTAGATAGTCTGTCGGTCACATTTTCAAACAACATTGTCTTTGAATATTTGGGCTGACGTAAATGGTGGCTCATTGTATCTTTTATTTTCCCAAATCGGTTGGACGGTTTACAATACCTTGACTTTCTACGAAACATTTTACCAACGGCGACAGCTTTAAACAGTACTTATGAGTGACAGAGCCATATTTTAAATTTCTGTACAAAATCCACCACTCAGCAGCTTTGTTATTTCAAGCGTAGTTGTTTTTGAAAAGTAAAAAAGTCACAACTTTCAGGACACCCTGTATAAGGTGAAATATGTTGCTTATCACGTCCTGGAAGTAATACAGTGAATTACCAGTAACCCTGTAGGTAGAACCTGACTACTATACGGGATAATTCGTTTTTCAGTTATGTTTCAGTTTCCTCTGTATCCCCCTATAGCCCCACGGTACCCAATGGGTGTTTAGGCCTTAGGCCTTCGTGGTAGTTGGAGTATAAAAAAAAATGAGCCGTTCAAAAAAATTCTTGAGCATAAGGAGCTAAAAAATTATGACCTGACGCGCCATACCATTTAAACACTCTCCAAAACGGTGCATAGCAGCCACCTTGAATTTTTCAAATATCAGTTCTAGACTAAAATGTAGTATCCATGAATCAGTTTCATCATCCCGATTTTCTTCCCGCTCCCATGACCAGTTCAAGTAGTTAATGGGGGAATAAAAGAAAAGCACTATGTATTCATTAATTTTATCTGCGATATTCTTGATCAACATCTGCAACTTCTAGTATTTCTACTACGGTAAAACACACCATTCCAACGCATTATCGGAGGCAATCTTCAATTTCTATCATACACATCTATTTATCTGTACTCAGCAATATCTACGAAATATTTTCTACGCACCCTGCATACCCACTTGCCCTGTACTATAAGCAGGGTGCAATAGAGCAGAAAATCAATATCTGCGCGGTTAGAGCGATATGCGAGCGATGTCAGATCGATACAATAAACGCGCCTAGCGATTGGCTGCGGAAAATCAATGGCGGTAGATGCGGACGAGGACGATACTATCGATTTATACGCTAGAAGCGTGCTGGAAGCTTTTCGCGTCCCATAGTGTCCGTTTTGCTGCTGCTCGTGGCACGTGTCTTGTTTCAATCGAACAGCATGTCGGGCGAAGCCGAAATCTGCGAATCCTATCAGTTAAAATGGGGTTTGTATCCGTCGTACATGCATTCCTGCATTTCAACCGCTTTGTACAATGACTCGTTCACGGACGTGGCGTTGGTTACTACCGATGGCCATCAGATCATGGCCCATCGATTCGTGCTGTCGTACAGCAGTGTCTATTTAGCCCAGATATTGAAACTTCAACGGAAAGTGACCACAGCATTGCCGCTCATGATCGTTCTACCTCAAGAAATCGACCATAAATGTTTGAAGGTATTGGTGCGGTACATGTACAGCGGCGAGGCGAAGGTGTCCAAAGACATTCTGAAGAACGTGCTGAGAGGAGGCGATATTCTCCAAATTAAAGGACTGTATAGAGAGAAGGGTGATCCAGATAGAGTTACCCGCATTACGCAACAACAGCAAGCAATAAGCCAACCTGCTGTATCTCCTGTTTCAATTTCGCAACCATCAACAAGTGGTTTATCAAAAGCAACAACTGTGCCGCCATCCCAACCTGGATCGAGCGCTGTCCAGACAAAATTGGTTGCCGCTAAGCAAAATAAAACTCCGCATAAAACAATGATTGTGATGCCTGTCAATACAGAAAAAGGAAAGCAACCGTTGAAAACTGTGACACTCAAACCTGGTTCAATCCCAAAGGTTCTAAATTTCTCTTTTGAACAAACTTTCAAGAAGATTGAAGATCAATCTTTCAAGAAGATCCAAGATCAGTCTATAACTGAATCTAAATCAAACGAGAACGCCGATAAGAATAACGCAACTATCAAGCCCGAGCCAAAAGAAACCAACAACCTACAGTTCTTGGTGATTAAAGATGAACCAATAGACTGGAGTGAAGCAGACATGGAAATAATCGAATCCAAGGAAGTTTTTGATGATATAAAATCAGAACCGACTGACGATGAAGAACTAGAAACTACCCAACAAGAAGACCAAATATTCTCGCCTCTGACCTGCGAACTTTGTACAGAAACCTTCACTGTTCCTTCAGAATGGGTGCGTCATGTCCAAACTCATACGGACATGCTCCCAGCAAAGCGAAGACGCCATGACAGTTCAGGAGAATCATACGAAAACGACACTTTTCCGGAATTGATGTGCGACTTGTGCCAGAAAGGGTTCTCAACACCAGCTGAATGGGTGAAACACATTCAAAACGAGCACACTGAATTCGAGCTTCACATGAGTAATGTTAAGGATCCACAATATAAGAAGATTGTGCCCGTTATGGCGAAAAAAATTAATAAAGAAGATGATAAAGCTAGTAAACAATGCCCAGACTGCCAGAAGGTGTTTCCATCCCAAGCCTCTATGTTGGTGCACAAACGAAGTCATACTGGAGAGAAGCCATATGGGTGTGGGAAGTGCAACAAAAGCTTCAATGTGAAGAGTAATTTGGTGAGGCATTTGAGGACTCTCCACAATAAGATTGTCAGTGCTAATGATATTGATAATAAAGATGTTTCTGATAACAGTAACTAAGTTTTGATTGTAAACAAATACTTGTGTACATTTTTCCAAAATATACTTATCTTTAATAAAAAAGAAAAAAAAATGTCTATGTGTATGCTAATTATAAAGGATCAGTACTTGTAACCTTGCTGAAATATCACGTATACCATTAGAAATATCGAAAAATCAATCTCCACTTTGGACGGCTTTTTATTCATCAATATTTCATTGTGCGATACACGTGTCGATAGGTCCTTTCGAATAAGCAATTTCTAATTATCAGAAACTGCCAAATACAGACACATATACAAATTAATGAATCATAACCGGTCGTGTTTGGTTTTGACTTTTTCATTTTAAGCGACACGAATTGTAACAGGTGTCAAATGAAGACGACATAAACTGGCCCTTCGTGATATACATTAATACAACATAACCCTTGTAATCCTTATATCTTTTGTGTATGTTGTTTTTTATCCCGTTTGTGAATTAAAACTTTCCGTAAAAGGTTATCAGGACTTAACAATTAATCGGGTACGTTTCTATTATCACAGTAACGTATCTACTTATATTTGAATCACATTTATAATTGTTGACGCTAGACTACAAAACAGTTGTGTGTAACAACCCTGTTCTCATATCAGTGTGAACCGCGGTTCATCTCGGTTCCTCACTTCAAATTGCTTGTGATGTTGCCTAATTACATGACCGGATCTATTCTACTGGAAATGGTCGTTATAGGGACTGTCAGAAATTCATTGTTCCAAATAACATAAATATATGTAGTTATATTGATCTCAACTTCCGGGGTATCAGGAGCCGTGTTCGAACAGCTGTCGTCAACCTGTCAGTGATCGTGTCCAAGACCCCGCCACAAAAATTCCGTTCATTCTGCTTCGCTATATAGACGGAATTCACATGGCCGAATTCCAGATACAATCACCAAACACTGTACGAGCAAACCTTTCATTGTGAAAATTTCAATTTTAAAGCTGTACCAATATTTGAAAAGGTATGATTTTCTCACTAAAAATAATATTTTGTTGACCTGAAATTCTTGTTATTACAGAAATCAACAATTATTATGATTTATAAGAATTGAAGTATTTTTCAACCTATCTAGAAGAGCAATGACTCTTGGGATACACGTTTGCGTTTCCAAATATACTGCCGACCACTGCTACTTTGTGGTTCTGTTAACACAATTTTTTTGTAAATTGGGAAAAGGATATCTGAGTGTTTTTTGATAAAATTTATAATAAAATGTGATAATGGTAATAACCGCCTAATTTGTTCTAAGATAATTTCTCAAAATTGCAAATTCTTTTCTTTAAGCATCAAAATAATCATAGAACTTCTAAAAAATAAAATGAGCGTTATGTGTACCTCACCAAGATATTGCAATGGAGATAAAAGCAACGAATTTGATAAAAGTGATAAATATGTAAAACAATTATTTATATGTTACAAATAAGAAATAACGCTTACCTAAGTCACCAACACCAATAATGCTAATATTACACCTATTTGGCAATACATATCCATCAGGTTTTAGAAATGCATTCCTTGCATGAATAAAGCTGTCTAACATGCCTTCAAACAACAGAAAATATCCCATCCATTCAGATACAATTATATCAACTTTTTCAACAGGTAAGTTCGTTTTCTCAACTTGACCTTTAATTAAATGGATCTTGTCTTGCAAACTGTTTTCCCTAAAAACATAAATATGTTTTATATCTTAATAAAAACGTGTACTGTAATGTTTGTGTTTAGATAAACTGAGAAATGTAAAATTATGTGACGCAAAATATCCATTTATTCAGACTACTGCTCTTCAGAACTCAAATATGTATATATATTTTGTCAAATGGCTTATATGTGTGAATATGCTTTATTTCAGTTTTCAGATTCGACTAAGAAAAATAGCTTTTTTGTTTTCAAATATTTCATGTTTAACAGGGTCAGATAACATTTTGATTTTGACAGCTTTTGTGGGTTCCAGAGAAAAATGTGTGGCCACGAGGGAGACATTTAAACTATGAAAAAGATACTTTAATAGTTCTTTATTAGAAATAAAAATTATTCAGTTCCATCAGTCATAAAACAAGAGAATCATATGGATTGAGTACTCACAGAACCTCAGGATAGTGGTTGTTTGCAAGCTAGAAATATTTTTGATATTGTAAGGAAATAACAAAAAATAGAAAGTATTGTATGCGATTCAGGGTAAACCACTGGTAAAGCATATCTACGTGAGCTACTGACGCGTTCCTGGTTTCAGTACGCCAAATCGCGCTAGTTTCACACTATCATTTCTTTATTTTCTATGCATTGATCAAGAACAAAGCGCAAAATATTTACACGAAAATATGCAATTTGAATTTCGTCAGGTAAGAGTGACAGAATTTTCGGTAGCCACTAAACAACATTATTATTATAGGAATTTTTAGTGTCTCTTCATGAAAATAAGTTGTGGTGTGTATGTAGCAATGCAAAAAGTATTTGTATATTGTTATACCAATTACAAATACTCAGATTAATTGATAACTTAGTGGAGGTCGGAAATGGAGCACGCCCGGGGAATATCATTTTTTATCGATTGGCTTAATGGCAGAATACTGTATATTCAACAATATCACAACATAGGAAATAAGAAACACAATCTTCACCTTACTATATCCATAGCTTTATAGACGACTTCTGATTGGTCAATACCATAAACTTTGTCTGCTCCTGCTTGTGCAGAAAACATGGATAAAATTCCAGTACCACATCCAACATCTAGCACTATTTTTCCAGTAAATAAGTTTGCATTATTTAGAATAGCATTTCTATAGCTTTCTGTCCTTACTTTATCCTAAAAGCAAACATGGCGATTTTGAATTTCATGATTTAAAACCCTAAATCATAATTAATAAGATAATTGAGCACCTCATGTGAAGCTATGAACCATCTTTATATGTTATAGAAAAAGTCAAATCTCTTGATGGAATTTAGTTTCATACAAACGAATCATGGCCATTCTAGTTTGTGTTATGATGAAAATTATTTTCAAATGGACACAGGCTGAGCTCAATGAATTTTTTCTTATTAGTTGGTCAATAAGGTAGTTTCCATCACTCACATTTAACATATCATGATGAATTCCAAAGTGGGAATATGAGTTGAAATAATCACTACTTTCACAGCCAGAAGATACTACATTGTGAGCCAATTTTTTATTGTAACTATCACCAGATTCTACTATTGTCCTTGTCACCTCTTTCATCTTCTCCATATCTTTCTGATAATTTTCTAATAGCATATCTCTATGTTTTACCTGAAAAGTACCATTTGAAACAACTTACCTTTTCAAGAGATTGGTCTATAAATTAACAGACACAACCAATATGCACATCTGTCTTTTTACAGCTAGTTCCTTACAAATGCAGACAATCCTTTCAACTACAGAAATATAGGCACATAGGCAGGTTCATACAGCACTTGTATAATCCTGTAGTCATATTCATAAGAGCTAAAACTCATGAACTTACAAGGTCAGCCATGTTGTGCATATGACTAGAGCTTATGGTTATGACAATATAACACTTTCATAATAAATATGCAATTCACCGCTTATGCTTATGACTATGACTAGAATAGTTCTTTTATAAACCTGCCTGACGTATCCAATCTGATGTAGTTATTTTTCATTTACAGTGTTTATGACAAATGTGATTTTGTAGTACCTTACAAATTAATATGACTCTCAATAGGACTAATGTGGGCCCACAAATACTGACATATTGAGCAATTAAAGTCTCCAATGCAATTCTGAAACAATGGAGTTGTATTTGACTATGACAAGTTGTAGGTCTGCATCACCTGTCTCATATCCACTTTGTTTCTAACACTATGTTACTGAAGAAATGCTTCAGCTCATCCCTGGCATGCATGTTTCAGAAGAAATGTGTCGCTGCTACTTTTTGTATGTTCTGTATTAGATTACAATAGTTGATGTCAATACATATTTCATTTTTTGCCAAACAGTATTTCCTATTTTAAAAAGTATCAAGCATAAAAACATTATATAAGCCAGTATGTCACAAACACACTGAATAATGTGAAACTACATAGCTTAACTAAAAATGGACTTAAGACCTCACACTGGAGTTTTTAATTAATCTTTCAAGCAATTTGCACAGACCAACCTGCATTGTCAAATCTTGGATTTGCTTCTGAAGATCAGAAAAATTTAAATGACTTATTGGTGTTTTCCCTTCTATTGCATAATGAGGAGTTGATGGAGCACTACCCAGGTCATCAAAATCTAAAAAAAATAGCTACATGTATTTGCAGCATAGTACTCTATCCTATAAATTATAAGTATTGGTGAAATAATCAGCAAACAGTAACATTTACCAGTTCATTTCATATCAGAAACATGTACTTAGTACATGATGAGCAAGTACTAAAGTTTAGTGGTTCTATAACTATTCTATAAATAAATACTGATATAAAGGTTCATCATGTACTAGAGAACTTTGATAACTATTGAATAATTTGATACAATGATTAATAATGCATCAAGTGTGCATGAATCCAAATAATAAGTTAAACATACCTGGCATGCCCTTAAAAATGCCTGATAAATGAATAAAGAGAATAAAATGGAAGCAATATTTGTATGATACTAATCTTCAAAATTATATATGTATTCCTTACCATACATCAGCCAAGGCTCCATTTCACCAGGTTTCAAGTAAACATCATCATCCCAAAGAGCTACTGAAGAGTCAGTTAATATTTTAGGATCAGGTCTTTGCAACCTGATATAGTTGATCATTTTTATGTATGAATAGCAATCCATGTTATACTTATTCTTTAATTGTAGCAAATCAAAGTTGTGAGCTATTCGACAGTGATCTAAGGCTACAGCAATTGTATGAAACTGTAGGGAACAGAAGAGGCATGTTGTCTGTTCACCATTAACTTCCATCTCATCCCAACCATCAGAATCATCATCATCAATGCTTGGACCTCCAGTAGCACCTTCCATCAAAGGAGGACAATCTAACATACAACAATGTTGCTTGTATAGGTTGTATTTGTTGTATTTCATATTGATAGAGAGTACTCACCATCTTCAACAGACATTTTATTATAGTTGGCAAGTCTAGCTCAACTGCACCAGCCGTTTTTGATGAAAAAATATCTGACCCTAGCGTTTGGGTGCAAATGAAAGATATAGGACTGAAAATGAGCAAAAATATAAGAGTTCTGGAATATTTCACTATGTGATACTAAACTACAAAATGATGATAAATGTGGAAACACGATATACTTTAAGCATTGCTGTAATGTAATCGTCAAGAATTTAGCTAGTATACTAATTTACTAATGCTTTATCTCAGAAAATCAACTTATTCCATCTTTCTTATTATTGATCAAAACAGCCTAGGACAAAAATGTACATGGGCCATGGGCTTTTCAAATTTTCAATGACGTGACAAGTGACAAGAAATAAAACATATTAAATCAAATCCAAGCCAATAACCAAAATTTCTGTGTTATGTGCCGCGGTTATAATTATGGTTCAAGATGACACACGGGTTGATGACGTCAGTTACACGAATCGCTTGAACGCGTTGGTTTTAACCGCGGTTTTGTTGCAAGTTTTTTATTTTATAAAAGCGCGTATATAATCTCTGATTATTTTTATTATCACTTAATAATCGGTGCTTTTTCGTCTACAACTGTGTTTGGGAAGATTAAATAAGAAACCTTTCATATATTCATGGGAGAAATGTTTTTTCAGATTTTTTTTTTAATGATGGAACCATGGCTTTGTAGCTATGATAACTTTCAATTCTCTAAAGTTTTCCGCATGTCAAAGAAAACATTTATTGATTCAGTAGAAATGATGAAAAAAGAAATTAGCAAAACCGTATACAGGTGGACATCATCTAGTGAGTTTATATGGCCATATTTTAATATTCTTGTGGTATATGGCTACACATGATACTTTGTTCAGCTTAGGAACTACATTTAAAATGTCCCCAACAACAGTAATGAGTATAACTAATAAGGTGCTCCACTTTATGGTAAAACTGAAGTCAGCCTGTATCAAGTTTCCCAAAAATGAAGCTGAAGTGCAATAACAATATCCAATACACGGCAAAATTCTAACTTGTCACATTTCAAATAATAACCAGAAATATAAAACTACTCCGGAGTTGGGTAAATACCACAATTTTGCGGTGATAACTATGACATATAACAGCTGATTCATGACGTCACGGATCATATAACCAAGCTGATAACCACACTCACTTAAACGAATCGGTAAATACCAACCCAAAATGGTAAATACTATTTTCATTTGGTTATCCGCTTGAAATTGATTATACAGGGAAATAACGATCAACGAGCAAGGCTGCGTTCGTTAAGTTATTCCTTTGACAACTTAAGCAGGATGAGGCTTTGATGAAAAGGTTTATCTTTCAAATTCCCCATGATACAGCGCCCTCTGTAGGTGGCGATTTGAAATAAAAGTGACTTGAGCACCAGAGTGTGTGCGATCCATACTAAGGGCAGCAAAACATTTCTTGGCGGGAACAGCTTAATGACGTTTCTAAATTTATGTGTTTACTTAGGGCAGGATCGTCAGTTGTTCCTACAATTGTACGCCTTTATGGACTCCTTGATTTTCATAGTTTTCTACTCTCCCATGTCAGCGCTCTATTTTGTGGTTATGTTACAAATATCTATTTACATCAAATTGTTCATACTTTTGATTTATATCATCTGTTATATGTCCTGAAATGTCCAATTCAAGAAGAAAACATAGCCTGACAATAGGAGAGCGCTGACGCTGTCACGGAACAATAGAAATCTAGAAATATTCCAGACCTTCTGAAAGAGAGGAAGGTCTATGAAAATCAAGAAGGACATAAAGCATAAAGCCGTTCTACAATAACTGTAGGAACGACTGACGATACGGCCCTTAGCCACAGAGTCGTTTTTATCCCCTCCAGACTTTTCAGCACCTAAAACCTATACAAACGAAGCCCTCTGGCGTCCGACTTTTTTTTTGCTTTTTACATGTTCTTCCATTATAAATCAAAATTTTTGGAATCCTCAGATATGTGGATATGGAGTAAATAGTCATTGAATGTTTTCCTCAACTGTTCTTCATCATGATCTACGACGACGATATATTTGGATGAAGGTCCATATTGTGGTAAGCCAAATGTCTCTAGTGGTTGAAAGTCGTCTTCTTAGCAGGAACAGCTCAGTTTTTCTCATATTTTTTTTTGATAATAAGGGCATTTCAAAAAAAACATTCCTACAAACTGATAACCCCCAAAAGTCGCAGATTTTAACAGTACAGGCTCGACCGGCTCATCTTAGGCGCATCATTTCGGTCACTTTTTTACGTAAAGGTATCTGACCTAGTGATGACCTAGGGCATATTCCCAGTATTTACCAATCGCTCGCTTGATTCAATTTCATGTTATGCGGTCCCACACGATGCTTCCAACGTTGCATACGACGTTGTTTAGAACGTTCGACACCCCAAAATTGGCAAGTGTGTCTCCTACACGAGGGAATGAACTTTTTAGTCTCGGACGCTCGACGCATGGTGGCGCCAACGTTAATTATCGGTGTCAGTGTCGCGGTTGAATCTTTAAAACTGAAGGAAAAATTATAGAAATTAACGATGAAACAATTTTTTCGAGCGCCGAAAAATAATTTCAGATCTGTCTTCAGCGACCAAAATTTAAATCTGTCAGAAACCTCAGAAATGTCGACCGTTTTTTGTTTGTTTTTCGATGATGACTCCGCCGCCACTGTACCGATTTTCAAAAACTGCAGACCTTTTTCGTCAGTTTCAGTAGTAAGCTTGGGTAGGAATTTCATCAAAATCTTGATAGTACTTTTAGAGTTATCATTTATTTAATCGTTTCCGTTAGTTATGACATGCAAGTCAATATATTTCTACTAGTCTTGCATTGCAACAGGACATTATAATGAAACAACTGGAAGCACTTGATAATTTATAATTTACTAAAATACATATAATTAGGCCAGCCATAACTCACCTGCGATACGTACAAAATATTAGCAATATGAAAAAAGTGGTGTTATGACAGTCTATGCTTTGTATGTATACTAATTTAATTCATTCTCTTGAAACGATAGTTACGGAAGGTACATGAATAGGTAGGTATTCAAATCAAATAAGTAAATAATGTTTTTCGCCCCTACTGGTTCTAACCTAAAACCATGAAGCACATGACATCTCGTGTGGGATCGTAACGAACCATGCTTCCAACGTTGTAACATCCTTTGACGCGGGTCAAATTTACTGACAAGAGCCCGAACTTGTCATATGGCGAACGTTGGACACATGCCGTGTGCCCATCGTTGTTAAGCGTTTAGTCTAGTGGTGGACAAAAAGTATCTATCCGATACAAAAGATCCGATACTTTCCGAAGCCAGAAGTATCCGATACTTTTTGATAAATGTATCGAATACTGTAATAAATACTGACAATCTGACTACTTATAGATCTTAGGTATTGAGAACCGAAAGGATAAAAAACTAAGGCAGTCTTACGAGATTGGTAATTTGAATACGATTTTTCGGTTGTTGCACGTTCCGGTTGTCAATTGAATATAGGCGAACTTTTGGGAATTAAAGTGTTTCATTTTGATTTCTAACACTTAACTGAAGCAAAAGGCTGAAATTAATTTCTGGTTACAAAAGCCCAGAATTTATATTTTATTTTTAACCAATATTGTAACAATAACAAATATAGCAATGTAATTCAAAATTCAGGGTATTGCTCATCACTACTCATCAGTTATTTCTAATATAGTGGATACCAAATAAAATCCGATGCACGTCATAGGTGATGTCATTCATAAAAATCATGGTTACCAACAGTTGACTACATTCAATGTGACATTTCTACTTGAAGTTTAAATTTCCCCGTCTCGATTCGGTTGGTAGTGCCGTGTAGAGAAATGTGAGGTTGCCACTTCTCATTTGTTGACATCAGTTGCCATTGTCCTTTTGTCGTAGACTGTCTACTATTAGTTCTTTATTGTTTAGTTTGCGAGTTTTGCGCTATTTGAGCTTTGAATCGTTGCCTTGCCAATTAAAAATTGTTCTTTTCAGAACAACAGTTACTGTGAAGTGGTGTAAAGTATCCAAAATGCCAAAACAACTTAACAATCGGTATAAAGAGCTCATATCATTGAATATCTACCGAAATCAGCTGTTTTTATTCAGAAAGGAATTTAATTTTACAACAAGTTTATTTATTTTTAATATAATGGTATTATAGTAAATGGTAGGTATATACAAACAATTCATTTTATTAAATTTATTTGCTTAAAAGAAAATGTGCAAATTCTGGCAACAGCGCACAGCTCCAGATCGATGACGTGCATCGGGTTTTATTTGGTATCCACTATATCTAGTCTATACTCGATGATACCTACTTATAGGAGACCGAGACCGCATAATAAGAGTAAACAAACAGTGATCAATAAATTCGAAGGTCGGGGCCTGGATCAGCGACATAAAGACAGGAACAGGATTATTATTATTTATTATTATTATTTGAGACTAGCAGTATTAAATTAACGGATTCTAACGGCAATTAATCGAGCCGATACTTAGTATCGGTATTGTATACTCAGTATGGGATACTTACAGATAAAGTATCGGTATCTATTCGATACTTGCAAAAGTATTGATTACCCACCACTAGTTTAGTCACATCGTGTGGGACCGGTTTTATATGTCAAAATCCCTATTACATTGCCATGTGATTTATGAACGCACCTCTGCTAACAGACAAAACTGACATAGAACAATCATGTTGTAGCGGCCGTTCCGTTTCACAAACTGTCATTTGGAGTTGAGTGATTGAGGTTATAAATACAAATCGGACTCACGTTTTACTGTTTTAGGGCTCATTTTTCAAAAACAAAACTTACAAGTAAGCAGCAATGTCACAACAGCCAAGTAAGCAGTTTATATTGTTAATATGTGAAATTCTCCTTCTGTCTCGATACTAACACAGTTATTTTTTTGTAGAAAAAAGGAATCCTTTACCAAAAGAAGTTGTAAAAGAGAAGCTAAGAGAGAGAAAGAAGTTGGCCAAGCAATTACTTAGAAAGAAAAGAGCTCGGCTTATTGTAAAAAATTTACCATTCAAAGTTAATGAGGAGCAATTGAAGGAATACTTTGAAAAATTTGGCAAAGTAGAAAATGTTGAACTGCTGAAGAAGCCAGATGGAAAATTGGTTGGTTGTAGCTTTGTACAATTTGAAATGGTACAGAAAGCTGCAAAAGCTAAGCATCATACTAATGGGAAAGAATTCTTAGGACGGCACTTGGTAGTAGACTTTGCTAAGGCTAAAAATAAATACAATAAAGTTGAAGTAAAAATTGAGCCTGAGGTTGAAATCAAAAAGGAAGATGATGAGGACCAAACTATGGTATCCCTAGATGACGTTGAAGGTTCACTTGAGCAAAATATGCAGGATAGTGATAAGAATAGAGACAGTGAAGGTAGTGAAGAAGAAATAAGTGATGATGAAGACAATAGTCATAGTAAAAGTTACGTTGAGGAAAATGAGGATGATAATAAACCTAAAAGAGTATCAAACGATGTAACCGAGGGGAAGACAATATTTGTGAGGAATGTACCCTTTGATGCAACCAAAGAGGATCTCAAGCAGTGTATGCTACAATATGGACCTGTCTACTATGCCC